GTAACCAGACCTCTATTACTGGTCAGTGGTGCCTGGCTCTTCCTCTCTTCGGTATCTTTGGAGGCTCCTCGGTACCCTTAACAAATATTTTACTTTAGGTGCTAGCCCATGCATCTATTAGATGTATGTACACACATTCAACGAATACTAGTTTCCTCTAGAGAAGGTCTCTTTAATCAAGACTTGAGGTTTATAATTTTGAGAGAGATAATTTTTTGATTATAGCAAGTCATTATATTTCTTTATTAGTTATATAATTTCACCAAAATAATTTAAAGTATGAAACCCTGCTCTCACATAGTAAATGAATACCTGAAACCAGGCAAACAGAACCACTTATATTTAATGGTGTCATAAATGATTTGCAAAATATTTTAACTAATTGGTAACCCTTAGGGCTCTTACTCATAAGGAAAGAAAAACAAACTTAGAAATTATCTAACATACACAAGAGTTCTAATACCTCTCCTCTGTTTCACCTGATAATTTTTACCTGGCTAAATGCAAGTACAAGAAGTAATTGATAGTGGGTCTCAGGCTGGTTTTCTCTGCTGAGCTCTTTATTTCTATACACTTATTCCCCAACACACACAGTGGTTTTCTAACTGGTTATCAATCTTAGCAATGGCAGGTAGCCTTTCCATTCTGCTATGGTTTGAATGTGTCCCCCAAAGTTCATGTGTTCGAAACTTAATCCCCAATGCAACAATGGTGGGAAGTGAGTCCCAATTAGAAGTGATTCTGGTCATTACGAGGGCTCTGCCCTCATAAATGGATTAATGTTGTTATTCTGGCAGTTGGTTAGTTATCATGAGAGTGAGTTGGATACAAAAACAATTTTTGCCCTTCTTGCCGTCTAGAAATCTATTCCCCTTCCACCATGCTCCAGGGGATGACACAGCAAGAAGATCCTTGCAAGATGTCAGCCTCCTCAACCTTGGACTTCCCAGCCTCCAGAACTGTAAGAAATAAATCTTTGTCCTTTATAAATTACTCAGGTATTTTGTTACAGCAGCATAAAATGGACTAAGATGCATATTATAGTTTAAGATCAAGAGTTCTGAAACATGATACCAATCCTTGCTTTATCCCCTCACTTGTTTCAGCACTCCCTGATTCTGGTGAATATGTCCGGGCTACTTGTTAGCAAGAAATCCTAATTCCACTGCAAAGCAGAATCTCCACTCTTTCCATTCTCAAAGTCTTGGTTCATGTTTTAAGAGGTGGCATAACACTGCAGTCGAGAGCATGTACCATGGAAACAGATCACCCAGGCTCCACTCTCGGCTTCACCACTTATCAGTTGGGTGATAAGTTACTTAAACTCTCTGAACTCCAGTTTTCTCATTATTGGAAGAGGGGTGATGATAATAATAGAAACTTCCTTAGGGTTGTTGTGAGGATTACATGAGTAATGCCTGTAAAGAAATTAAAACTATTCTGCTGAGGATGTAAGGCAGCAAAGCAAGCAAGGTTTTTTAATAGTATACTAAATACCATTATCTTACCCTAAATTTAAAAGCACTCTCCAGATATGTGGTCAGTGGCTGAGAGACATTGAGCAAGTATCTCCCTAAACCTCTGTCTCTTCATCTATAAAATGGTGCTAATTGAAATAAAAACATGTAATTTACTTGGCAATTACCTAACATGCAGTAAACATTAATATTAGCTCTTATGTCATCTATAAAACTAATCTGTAATTATGTCTGCTTTACTGGGATATTGTAATAAGATAACATAGGTAAAGTACTAGCATAATGATTTAATATTTATTAAGCAAAGGGTTAATATATAGTTTTCTTTTTCTCCACACTTGCCTTTTTTTTTCCTTTTGAGACAGGGTCTCACTCTGTCACCCAGGCTACAATACAGTGGCATGATCGCAACTCACTGAAACCTCAACCTCCCAGGCTCAAGCAATCCTCCCACCTCAGCCTCCCAAGTAGCTGGGACCACAGGCATGTGCCTCCACACCTGGCTAATGTGTAAATTTTCTGTAGAGATGGCGTCTCCCTGTGTTGCCCAGGCTGGTCTCAAACTCCTGGGCTCAAATGATCCTCCTGCCTTGGCCTCCCATAGTGCTGGGATTACAGGCATAAGCCACCATACCCAGCTTCCACACTTGCTTTTTAAAGCCCCTAGGATTACTGATCATTTTTTCCTGAATTGCTTTTACTTTTCCTTTGACAGCTATACCTGGAGGTTTGAGCAACGCAGAGAACCTATGATTATATAAACTCTGTCTGTTACCAACAACCTCCACAAACCTACCATTGATAAGCAAGTCTTTATTGAATGTGAAGATTTACCAGAGTAATTCTACTTCAAAAAAGGTAGTTGAGTTTCTGGCAATATAGCTGACCAAGTATTAGGACCAATCTTCCCAACTAATGACTAAAAATGCTGGATAAAATATAAAAACGTCTTCAAGAAGGCATATGAGAGCAAGAGTAAGCAGTACCTAAGAAAGCAACACTGAATCAGCTATATTCTCAGGGCATTTGCTGAACTCAGTGAACTTGAGCATAGATTTTTATGCTCTGGAGACAGAAGACACAACTCAGGGACCACCCAAGTTGGAGTATCCTATATTAGAATCCTCATAAAACAGGGGCCCAAAGGCATATACTCAACAAAAGAGGGGACTAAAATAACCTATACACTTTCACCCGCACTGAAAATTGCATGGAAAACTAATAGCCTCAAAACTTGGCAGTGTGTAGAGTGGGTGAAAATTATACCCTAAGAATTTGTAACCAAAAGCTGGCCCTCACACAAGTTTGCACAGAAATTCATACTTTTGAAGCAATCTAAAAAAAAAATTTTAATGTGAAGTCAATATTATGTAAAGGAGTCTTAAGCTAATATATCCCAGGTACCTAAGAAAAGCAAATGTAAATCCTTGTAGGAAAAGGATTTTCCTACAAGGATTGTCCCCTTTCATTCTAGGACACAAAAAATCTTCATGGATAAAATTTCAAGGAAAACTAAACAATTCAAATGTCAAAATTAGTAACACACAGGAGTCAATGTTATAAGTAAGAACCAGCAGGAAAAAAAAAAGATAGCAAAATAGGACCCAAAAACTTTTAGATACTTGAATTATCAGATACAGAGTAGTAAAAAGTATGGTTAATGTGTTTAATATCAGAAACTTTAAAAAGTAGCAATTGAAATTGAGCACTCAATTGACAGATTTAACAACAGATAAAACATAGCATAATAGAGACAATTAGTCACTAGATGATAAAAATAATCAAGAATGAAGATCAAGGAGACAAAAGAATTTAAACTTTGAAAGGAACACAGATAAATTGAACTTTATCAAAATTTAAAAACACTTTTTTGTATCAAAGGACATTAGCAAGAAAGGGAACAAGCAACCTACAGAATGGATGAAATATTTATAAATCATAATTTGATAAGGGCCTGATATCCAGAATATACAAATAACTCCTACAATTTAACAGAAAAAAAAAAAAACAGCAAAAAGACAAAAAAAAATTAAATTAAAAACATGCAAAACAGGAGGCTGAGGCTACAGTGAGCCATAATGGTGCCACTGTACTCCAGCCTGAGTGACAGAGTGTGAGCCCATCTCAAAAAAAAGGGGGGGCGGTGGGGCAAAGGACTTGAATAGACTTTTCTTCAAACATATACAAATGGCCAATAAACATATGAAAAATCACTAACTATATTTCCAAAAACCAACATAAAAAATAAAATGACAAATTGAAAACAGAATAAGCAGGATGCACAATATCATTAGTCATCAGGGAAATTCAATCAAAAGGACAGTGTTATGCCACTTCACATCTACTAGAATGGCTACAGTTTTTAAAAACTGAAAATAACAATGCTAATAAGTATGTGGTGAAATTGGAACCTTCATACATTGCTGGTAGAAATGTAAAATGATGCAGCAGCTATAGAAATATTTGACAGAGGCCAGGCATGGTGGCTTAGGCCTGTAATCCCAGCACTTTGGGAGGCCAAGGCAGGCGAATCACCTCAGGTCGGGAGTTCGAGACCAGCCTGACCAACCAGGAGGAACCCCATCTCTACTAAAAATACAAAATTAGCCAGGCGTGGTGGCACATGCCTGTAATCCCAGCTGCTCCAGAGGCTGAGGCAGGAGAATGCCTTGAACCCGGGAGGTGGAGGTTGCTGTGAGCCGAGATCATGCCATTGCATTCCAGCCTGGGTAACAAGAGTGAAACTCTGTCTCAAAAAAATAAATAAATAAAAAATAAAGAAAACAAATATTTGACAGAACATTTTTCCTCAAAAAGCTAAACATAGAATTATCATATGAACCAGCAATTCCACTCCTAGTTATATACGCAAGGGAATATAACTGAAAGCAGGGACTGAAACACATATTTGTAGGGCAATGTTCACTGCAGCATTATTCATAATAGCCAAAAATTGGAAATAATCCATATATATATGCATATATATATGGAGAGAGAGACAATAATAAAAAGGAATGAATTTTTGATATATGCTACAACATGAATCTAAAAACCATTAACACTGAGTAAAATAAGCCAGACCCAAAAGGACAAATATTGCATGATTCCACTTAAATGAAATATTTAAAATAGTTGAATTTATAGAGACAGAAAGTAAATTAGAGATTTCCAGGAGCTGGAAGGAGTGGGTAATGGAAAGTTATTGCATAATGGTTTCAGAGTTTTCATCTAAGAAAAAGTTTTGGAAATTGTGGTGACGGTTGTCCAACATTGTGAATGTAATTAATGCCACTGAACTGTACATCTAGAAATAGTTAAAATAAAAAATTGTGTGTTATATATACTTTAACATAATTTCTAAAAATTAACAATGTAATAGATCAAAAAACATTAAATTGTACACTTTGAGTGAACTGTATGGTATGTGATTTATACATTAATAAATTTTTTAATAGAAAGAAAGCTCGTATTAATTAAGGTAGTAAGCTAGGTTGCAGAAACAGATAAACCCAAAACACAACATTACTCAAACCAAAATAGAAGTTTATTATTCTACTGTCACGTAACAGTTCAAGTTGAGCGTTCCTGGTCTGTGAGTACTTCTCTGACTGCAGTGGTTCAGCGACTGCAGCTCCCTCCATCTGAAGACTCAGCCATCCTCTGAGCCTGAGGCCTCCATATTGTCTGTATTCAGCTAACATTAGGGGAAAGAGCATAAAGGAGACACATTACTTCCTAAAAGCCTTGGCCTGAAAATGTTCATGCACATGGCCACACAAAGATGTAAGGAAGGCTGGAAAATGTAGGCTTTAATGCAGTTAAAAGATTATGATATTAGAGTAAAACAGGCTAACATATGTCTAAACAGAGTTCCAAAGCATAAGAAAGGAGTGAGAAGGAAGTGGCAGCAATAGTTGAGGAGATTATGACTAAGAATTTTCCACAACTGATGAGAAACAATAACCCATACATTCAAGATTTCTACAAATCCCAAATAGAAAAAATAAAAAGAAATTCACACCTAAGTACATCATAGTGAAATCACAGAACCTAAAGACAAAGATATACTAAAAGCAGCCAGAGAAAAAAAGATAGATTACCTTAAAGACAGTGAGACTGACAGCTGACTTCCCCAGTAACAATGTAATCAAGAATGGAGTAGAATAAAATATGCTGAGAAAATAATTATTAAAATAATTATTAACTTATTAATCTACACACAGTAAATTATACTTTTTAAGAAAGAGAACAAATTAAGAAGACATTTTTATGACAAATAAAAACAGAAAACATCTGCCATTAGGACACCCTCACAAAGATGTTTGCAAAGAAATAAAGAGAAAAAAAAGCAGTAAATACTTTAAAAGTTGACTATACAAAACAAAATATTACGTGGGGTTAAAAAACACGATAGAATGAAAATATATAACAATAATAGCACACAAGGCGTAATTGAATTTAAAGTGTTCTAAGTCTTATATTATTGGGGAGACCATAAAGCAATGAATTAATTAAGTATGCAAGCTACAAATTTTTAAACCACTGAAATACAGAAACAAAAGTTATAGCTTCCAAACTAGTAGAGGAAAAAAATAGAATATGAAAAAATATAATCAATTCAGAAAAAGACAAGGAAGAAGAAAATAAGTGGTATAGAAAATGTGGAAAAAATATAAAACATAGAAGGTAATAAAAACAAATCTAAATGTCTGCAATTATAATAAATATAAATACACTAACTGCTTCAGTTGAAAGACAAAGTCAAGCCGTGTTTTTTAAAAAAATCTTGCTTTATTCTGTTTATAAGAGACAAGTGTAAAGCTTAAGAATACAGGAAGATTGAAGATATTAAAGTAAAAATGTAGAGAAGAATGTACGAAGCAAATATGAAACAAAAGAAACCTGCCAGTTCTGGTAGACAAATGCATTTACAGACAAATAAATATTATTGAACACAAAGACAATCATTACCTAATTATTAAAATTTTAATCATCTGGGAGATATGAATTACGTATTCATATATGTAATTATTCCTAATTACAGTCCAAAAATATGTAAAGTAACACTGACAGAACCACATGGAGAAACAGACATATTGAGAAATTTCAACACAGTTTCAGAAACTGACTACTGAAACAAGGCATAAATACTAGTAGTTTTATAGAAGATTCAAACAACACAATAAATAAATGTAAACTAATGGGTATATATGAAACTGTCCTCAATGACTCAACACTGCTTTTTTTTTTTCTATTTTTTTCTTTTTTAGAGTCTCACTCTGTGGCCCAGGCTGGAGTGCAGTGGCACGGTTCAAGTGATTCTCCTGCCTCAGCCTGCCAAGTAGCTGGGATTACAGGCACAGGCCATCATGCCTGGCTAGTTTTTTGTACTTTTGTAGAGACAGAGTTTCACCATGTTGGCCAAGGTGGTCTTGAACTCCCGACCTCAAGTGATCTGCCCGCCTCAGCCTCCCAAAGTGCTAGGATTACAGGCATGAGCTACCACACCTGGCCTTCAATGACTCAAAATAAACATTTTTTTCCAAGCATTCATGGAACATTTTAACCAAATGTTCAACTATAAAGCAGCTTTCAAAAATTAAAAAACATATATAATATATTATATATATATAAAATATATATTTTATATATATATAATATATAATATATATTTTATATATATATAATATCATACAGATACTGGGTTTCTGAAAAGATAAATAGTATCATACAGATCAAGCTCTCTGATCACAATGGATTTGCAACCCAAAAAAATACAGAATTAGAAATATCCCTATATGTTTGGAAATTTTTAAATATCCTTCTAAATTACTTAAGGATCAAAGAAAATATTGTAATGAACATCAGGAAACATTCAGACCCGATAACAAATAAAATATTACATATAAAAACTTACATTATAAGTAAAAGAAAGAAGTTAAAGGAAACTTAGAGGAAAATGTATAGCTTTAAATGCTCAAAGTATAAAATAAGAAAATCTAATAAATAATGAAAACTATATACATCTTAAAAGTTAGTATAGGAAGAGCAGAATAAACCCAAAGAAAAGAGAAGGAAATAATAGAAATAAAAATTAATGGATAGGAAATGAAATATTTTATAGTCAAAAGTTGGTTCTCTGAAAAAGCTAGTAAAATTTACAAACTTCTTACAATAAGAAACAAGAGAGATGACCCAAAAATTAAACCTAAAATAGTATGCATATGAAATGATAATATTACATAAATGTATGACATTAAAAGGGGGCATAAATTCTAATGCTAGAGACATAAGATAATCAGGAGATGTATGAGTATTATTCCAATAAACTTGAAAATGTAGCTGAAATGATTCCTGTAAAATAGAACTTACTTAAACTGACTCAAGAAGAAAGCAAAAACTGAATGGTCCTATAACTCCTAAAGAAATTTAGTCATTAGTTTAAAATCTTTCCCTAAAGGAGGGATGAGGTCCAGGAGAGTTTATTGATAAACAACCACTATTCAAGAAACAATTTCAGTTTTACGCAAACTGTATCAGATTATGGGGGAAAAAAAATGATACTACTCAACGCATTTTCTAAAGCTAGCATAACCTTGATACCAAAATTCAACACTGATGTTCAAAAGGAGGAATTTGCAGACCAATCTTACTCATGAACACAAAAACAAAAATCCCAGATAAAACACTAACAAACTGAATCCCTCAAAGTATTAAAATTACACACACACACACACACACACACACACACACACACACACACACAAAACGGCCAAATGAGTTTATTCGGAAATAAAAGCGAATTAAAGAAAGAAAAAAATATAACTGACTACATTAACTATTGAAAGAAAATCATATGACTATCTCAACAAATGCATAAAAAGCATTTGATAAAAATCCAACAATCCTTTATAGTAAAAATTTACAGTAAACCATGAATTAAAGTGAACTTCCTTACTCTGATACTAGACATCTACCCAAAAATTTGCAGCAAACATCATATTCAATTTTGAAATTTTGAAAGCATTCCATTTAAATGTCATAAATAAGTTTCTGTACTCTCTACATACTTTGATGCAAAATTACGCTGGATACTCAGTACAGTACAAGAAAGCGAGGAAAAAAATAAAAGGGCTAAGGATTCAGAATGAAAGAACAAATCTGTCATTACTCAAAATTGATATGATTTTCCATAAAGATAAATTATTAAAATTAAGTTAAATAAATATGCTAATATAAAATCATTATTCAAAAGTGATTTCTAGGTATCCATAATAAGCAGAAAAAATTTAAAAGACATTTATTACAGCATCAAAAATATGATGTGCTTAGGAATAAATCTACCAAAGATGTACAAGACTTTAGGGAGAAAAGTACAAAACATTATTGAAGGATATTAAAGAAGACTTTAATTAAGGAAGAGATATACAATGTAATAGGTATTTTTCAAGGGACGGGAGCATAGAACCTTAGACCAATGGAGCAGCATAAAAAGTCCAGAAACAACCCCACGCATAATTGCCATTTAACATATGACAGAGGTGCTGTTGAAGGTCAGTTGGAAAAAAAATGGATAAAAAAAAAAAATAGTGCTGGAATGATTTGTTTCAATATGAAAAAAAATTAAATTGACTCCTACCTCATGCAAAAAACAAAAATCTGTTCCAGGTAAATTAAAGATCTAAATGTGAAAGGCAAGAATGTCAAACTTTTGGAAGACGATATGGTAGAACACCTTTATGATTTCAAACTAGGGTAGCTCTTAAACTGGACATAAAAGGTTTAAGTTATAAAGGAAATTATTGACTACATTAAAATCAATGTCTTCTGTTCATCAAAAAGCATTATAAATGGTGAAAAGACAAGCTCAAACTGAGAGATGATTGCTACACACTAACAAAGTATTAAAATACAAAAAAATTTTTAAATGTTTGCAAATCAGTAGGAATGACAAACAACCAAGCAAAAAAATGAGGCATAAGTAGTCCATAAACACAAGAAAAGATGTTCAAACTCATGGCAAATCAGGGAAATTATAACCACAAAAGATCATTCGAAAATTGTCAGACTTAAGAAGTGTGATGACATTAACTGTTTACGAGGTTGAGGAGCAATGAGAATGCCCATACCCTGCTAGTAAGAATGTAAATTTGTATAGCACTTTTGGAAAACAGCATGACATTACCGAGTAAAATTAAATGTGCATATTCAGGTACTCTATGATTCAATGTTCCCGCTCCTAAGTATATATCCTAGAGAAATCTTGTATATGTGTACCAGGAGACATGTAGAAGAAAGTGTGTAACAGTATTGTTTACAACACAGAAAACTGGAAAAAACCTAAATGCATTCAACAGACTGGATCTGTTGTGGTATATTTTCATAATAAAATACCATCGAGCAATAAAAATTAATGAGCTAAAGCTACAATCATCAGCATGGATGGATCTCAAAAATAAAATGTTAAATTAAAAGAAATAAGTTACAGAAGAATATGTGCAGTATGTTTTTATTTATGTCAAGTTCAGAAACAATCCAAACTAAACAATGCAATTTTTAGGGGCATAAATAGGTAGTAATGAGCATTAAAAAAAGTTAGGAAGGGATTAACAAAGTTCAAAATCGTGAATACTTTCAGAGAAGGAGAGGGACACATTCACTTCTGGAATATGGTACCTGTAATGTTTTATTTCTCAAACTGGATACTAGATACAAAGTAATCCCTTTTCTTTTTCTTAAAATGTATGCATATATCTTTATACATTCTTCTGTATGCCTGTTATGTTTTATAGTAAAAAATATATATGTTTTATAATATTTGCCTGAATTTTCCAGACAAAATTTTTTTCTGAATTACAAGAATAATTATTTCAGTTTCCTCTTCTGGGGCTTGAAAAACAGAGTCACAGAACTTGGAGCGTTCCCTATTACAAAATTCACATAAGTACTTGTATGCACAATCCTTGTTTATTTAGCAATAGGTTTTAATTAGGCAGTGTAGGTTCTCAGAGTCACTCAAAGCATACTCAAAAATTATATCATAGCCCTTTTATTCTTAATTGCATTCATACTATCCAAGAAATATCACTATAGAGCAGTGCTGTCCAATAGAAATATATCATAAGCCAACTATGTAATTTATACTTTCTAGTAGCCACATTTCAACATCTGATCAATATTTCTTCTAATTATTAATGAAATATTTTATATTCTTTTCCCTACTCAATTTTCAAAATTCAGTGTGTACTTTACACTTACAGCACCTCTCGATCCGGACTAGCCACATTTCAAGTTCTCAACAGCCACATGAGGCTGGGGACTACCATACTGGACAGCACAGCCTTATAGTATCCAAATAAATAACAATCCCCTTAGCTTCAGCTTTAGAAATTAGCAGGAGAGAACCACCCACCAAGCCTCGGGGCATGTTAGGCCTCCAAACTATGAGAAAGAGTTCTAATTTTAGCATGAAGTAGTGGTAGGTACCTTATTCACACAGAACAATAGAAGTGGTCGTTTTTATCACATCTTTTCTCTTTATATCCCTGAATTTCCTCTGAAGTAGGCCTAACAGGAACTTCTTGTAAACGGGAAATAATAATGCTTTAGAGTTCTTAAGCCCATTTTCCTCAGGAATCTAAAAAATTTTAAGAATACTGGTTCATTAATCAACAGACTAACAACAGTCTTGACATACTCTGCCATTTAAATTTATGTATATTTAGAAAAATCAAGCCTTAGAATAGAATGGCTAACATCCCATCTAGAAACAGAAGCTGAACCAAGATCTAAGATTCGGACTCCCACGGCTCCCCTAAGCCAATACCCTGAGCACACATATATGTTCCTTTGGGTTATTAGATTTTCTTTTGGTTCCAATCATTCACAGTTAATTCCTTATATTATTTCATATTTCAGCTACTCTACTTCATTTCAATATTCTCCCACCCCTTAGTTGTCTGAAGAAACCAAATTTAATATGCTGATTCTTGCCTTAAATACTTTGCAATGTTTCTAAGAGGAAATATACAATTGCCAAAAGGTTGTGTTTCTTTATTTTTTAAAGACCAGTTATTAAAATTTCTGTAGAACAACTTTTATAGCAATAAAAGCCAAATTTTGACTAATTACCAGAGAACTAGAGAATGAGATCATCAATATTTATGGGATTTTTTCTTCTGATTCATTTTCAGTATTTTGCATAGGAAACCTTAATTTTCTTAGTCAATGTTGTTTAGTAAGTGTATTCATTTTCCAGTAGTAATTGCATAAAGGTGCCACTAATGAGAACCAAGCATTGACTTCCTGGGACTCATTTGTATGCTTATATACACACTCATTTTTCCAATCTTTCCCTATTTTTTAAACTGTACTTTCTCCACAGCAGTACAAAGTATTATTTAACTAACCTCCAAAACATTGGTTTTCTGGCTTTCAGATTTCATAACCAATAGAAAAATAAATGTCTTAATTGAGGGACTGGCATAACATTGCCAATTTCTTATTTTGCCAATTACAGTTATAAAATAATAATTAAACTCTACAACTTATTTTATTACCATCATTTCCTTCAAGCAGTGGTTCTCAAACTAGCATGTGTCAGAATCACCTGGAGGGCTTGTTAAGGCACAGATGGCTGGGGCCCACCTGCAGAGCTTCTGATTCTGTGAGTCTCAGAGCCCAAGTATGTGCATTTTCAACAAGTTCCCGTGTGATGCTGCTGCCGCTACTCTTTGGAACCACACTTTGAAAACCACTGCATTAAAGAGAGGACATTTCAGTAGCAAAAAAGAAGACAGGAGGCAATCTCAGAATAAAAGAGAATCAATTAAATTGAGTAAATTTAGCTTTATTTTTTCTACTTCTCCTAGGTCAGTTTCACAAACAGTAACAATGTCTCTGAAGTAACATTTAGAGACTGTCTGATAAGTAGCCTTAGCCAGCCAGCCATATGTAGGTACTGAGCACTTCAAATATGACTAGTCCAAATGGAGATTTACTGTAAGTGTAAAATACACACTAGATTTTAAAGATTTACTACAAAGACAGGGCATGGTGGTTCAGGCCTGTAATCCCAACACTTCGGGAGGCTAAGGCAGGAGGACTGCTTGAGCCCAAGAGTTTGAGACCAGTCTGGGCAACACAGTGAGACCCCATCCCTACAAAAGACTCTTAAAATTAGCCATGCGTGGTGGAGTATGCCTGCAGTCCCAGCTACTGGGGAGGTCAAGGCAGAAGGATCACCTGAGCCCAGGGCATCAAACATGCAATGAGCTCGGATCACGCCACTGCACTCCAGCCTGAGCCACAGAATGAGACACTGTCTCAATTAGAAAAAAAAAAGACTCACTACCAAAAAAGAGAATACATTTCACTGATAATTTTTATACTGGTGCAATCTCGGCTCACTGCAACCTCCACATCCAGGGCTCAAGCCATCCTCCCATCTCAGCCTCCCGAGTAGCTGGGACCACAGGCGCATGTCCCCCAAGCTCAGCTAATTTTTTGTATTTTTAGTAGAGACGGGGTTTTGCCATGTTGCCCAGACTAGTCTGGAACTCCTGAACTCAAGCAATCTGCCCACTTCGCCTCCCAAAGTGCTATAAAGGCGTGAGGCATGGCAGCTGACCTAGAAAACTGTTAATTGCTTTGGGAGGTCAAGGCAGGTGGATCACCTGAGGACAGGAGTTCAAGACCAGCCTGACCAACATAGAGAAACCCCATCTCTATTAAAAATACAAAAAATTAGCCAGGTGTGGTGGTGCATGCCTGTAATCCCAATTACTCGGAGGCTGAGGCAGGAGAATCGCTTGAACCCAGGAGGCGGAGGTTGCCGCAAGCCTAAAGCACACCATTACACTCCAGCCTGGGCAACAAGAGTAAAACTCCGTGAAAGAAAGAGAGAAAGAGAGAGAGAGAACGAAGGAAGGAAGGAAGGAAGGAAGGAAGGAAGGAAGGAAGGAAGGAAGGAAGGAAGGAAGGAGGGAGGGAGGGAGGGAGGGAGGGAGGGAGGGAAGGAAAGAGAGAACTGTTAATTGCATATGTGGCTCCCATCATAATTCCATCAGGCAGCATTGCCCTAGAGAAATGGCTCTCAGTGTAATCTCTAGACCAGCAGCATCAATATCACCTGGGAACATGTGAGAAACACAAATCCCACCCTAAACCTATTGAATCAGAACCTCTATGGATAGGGACCAGCAGTCTACATTTTAACAAGCCCTTCAAGAGATTCTAATGTATGTTAAAGTATAAGAACCACTGCTAGAACAGTGCTTATCAAACTTTAATGTGCACACAAATCACCTGGGGATCTTTAAAAATTCAGATTCTAGTTCAGTAGGAACTCAAGATCCTGCAGCTTGAACAAATCCCACATAATACTGGATACTGGTGGTTCTGATCATTCTTTGGGTAACAGAGACCTACTTGTAACATTTATTCCTTATTGAGCACTCTAACCAATATCCAAAACAAACAAATCAGCACACATCCCTAAACTCCAAAGGATTCCCACCTCAAGATTCCAATTAGGCTGCTCTAAGGGAGAGGAACTGTGTTTCACTGACAGAAAGAATTTTGTCAAGACTCTTTGAGAGCTATAAATAAATTCTTCCATTTAATTGTTTGCATTATCAGACAACCTGCCATGCTCATCTAATAAGAAAGTGTGTGTTTGTATTCCTATTTTCTCCAGTAGGTTAATGGTGATTCAATATATTTAGAGCTGGAAGCTACTTCTACGAGGCTGGAACGTTTGAATGAAAAATGGGCACTCTGGCTGCATCTCCCTTGGCAAAGTGATCCATTTAATCAGCACTGTTGTTTATATCTAGAGAGTGGGTTTTAATCTGAGTTACTATCTGCTGGTTTTAACTCAGAAAAGGTAAGTAGGATAAGAAAAGAAAAGGAAACTCTTCTCTTGAGCTGCACTGAGTCCATTTTTTGTTTATCCATCATGACAAGAGCCATGTAACAAGAGACAGAGGCAGACTTTATCAAATTCTGCTTGATTCCAAGGAAATTCCCCCATACATCTGAGAAGCAGCTGTTCCCATATTTGAGAGTGTTTTTTTTTCTGATTTCCCCCCGTTCTGATTTTCCCATTATATTTTCTCCACAACATTTATAGTAGACAAATATAGAAAAACAGACACTATTTACAAGTGTCTGGAGAAAAAAATTTTTATAATTCAACTGAAATGATAGAAAGTGACTAATAATTGTTTAGCTTTTATTGTGACATGTTTTTTAATAAACCAGAGGAGAAATCTAGGAAGTTAGGGAACATGTCTTCTATAAAACTTCTTTAAACTATAGAAAGCTTCATTTTTTAAAATCAAAGTCCATCTCTTTTATTGTTTATTAACCATTTTATTGTTAAGTATAAGAAGAAAAAACACAGAATTAAATGGGTAAGTTGGGTTTTTAAGGTAAATGTGATGTATTACCCTTCTCTGTCAGTTTTGATAAAAAACCTATATGTGGTACATAATTCATGCTAGGTACAAGAATTTGCTATAAAATAAAGTTTTGGTCTATATACATATACATACATATTTTTTTCAACATTTATGTATTGAGTTAAAGCCAAGAATTAAATTCTACTTATAAAATCCTTAGTCATGAGAAGTCAGTCCATTTTGTGCCTAGACCTTATGGCCATTTGAAGAGCCATATAATGCCAAGCCAATAAAATTAAAAATTTGTTACTGAGATCTGTGAAGATTAATCCTATGTTGCTATAAATATAAAGCAATCATTTATTGTTTAGACACAGAAAGTGAAAATAAGTTTTATAAATCATTGGGTTAGCTACCATATGGTAAAAGCTTAAATGCAATATTCATTGTACTTGAAAACAGGCAATATGTGTCTTTTGCATGAGTTTAGATAGTGATGTGTGATCATAGTGGGGTAAGTGTTTCTGGCAATTGAATTTTCCAGGAAAAGGAAAATGCTTTGTGGGGTCAACTGAGGAATGAATAAGGTATCTTGAAGAGCCTGGATATTTAACAGGCCATCTCTTGGGGTAGGACACTCAGGGTTCCCCTGGTCACACAGATCACTGGAGCAAATTGCTGTTACACAGACCTGGTGTTGAATCCCAGCTATCCTTAGTTACGAGCATGTTGACTTTGAGCGAGTCACTTAACCTCTTGGTATTCCAATTTCCTCAATTCAAACTGACCATGAGTGAATAGCCATGTTTTTCCCAGAAATTTCTAGATAAACCATCTTCTTCCTCAGACTCTAGAGCCCTGTGATTTTTAGATCCTTTCAAAACTTGGGAGGAAAACACCTACTTTCTGTTGGTGTTGAATGTATTATCAATAATATGTGTAGAGTCCGTGGAATACAGTCAGTGCCCACTAACTGTGCTCCACAAATGTGCAGGAAGACAGGAAGGCAATCCGGGAGAACTGACAGTGTTCTCATTGCTTCTCTTCCCACTCCATCCTGCGTGGTGACTCTGAGCCTTTGAACTCTGGCTCCTGAAAAATGGGAGAGATATTTATTTTCTTTGATTAAACCACTGAAGGTCTGTTTAATTTTTTGAATGCCATGGGATTTTCATTTCACTCAAAAACCAGTGCTTATGCTGCTATGTTTTCATTACACATTTTCCTTACCTTCCCAAGTCCTAGCTTTATCCACTCTTTCATTTATTTGTGTTTATTCACCAAATATTTATTTAACACTACTGTGTTAGATCTTAATGCAAGAGGAATTTTTTACACCTGCATTTCTCTAACTTCCCATATCTGAGGAATCACCTGAAACACAGAGCTCAAGACCAGCACCACTTAGCTAAAAGTTTGGTCAAAAGATGACACTGATGATAATTGCAAATGAACTGACTATAGAGTCCAAAAGATTCCATGTTGCATTCAGAGTAAAATGCAAACCTTTTTGTGTGGCTCCTGCTGACCTCTCTAGGAACACCTCTCCACATTCTGCACCAACTATTTTAGAGAGCTCAAGCATCTCTTCCTCCCAGAAACATTCCTAATGTCCTAGCCTCCTCCCCATCTCCACTGTATCTATCACAGTGTACTCTAATTTTCTGCTGAACTGATCGCTCCTCCTAGAGGCCAGTGGTTCTCAAGCTTTATGGAGAATCAGATTTAGTGGGTCTGTGGTAGGGCAAGAGAATTTGCAATTCTGACAAGTTTCCAGGGATGTCAATGCTGCTGGATAGAGATCACACCTTAAGAACATCTGCTCTAACCTACCAATTCTAAGAGGAAAAAAATCCCAATTTACTTTAATTTATATCCCTGGTACCTAACACAGTATGGCACATGGTAGACAGTCAAACGACATTTGTTGAATAAAAGTAATGGATGAACTAGTGAATCCCTTGTTATTTTGTACGGAATGGAATGACAAATTGGTCTCCAAGTGTAAGAACCCAAGACACTCCTCCATCAGTATTAAGCTCCCTCTTAAAATAAGTAGAGGGAAAGTGCTCCTCTCCCGGCCTCTGAGTTCCAGCATACTGACTATCTGGTGCTGCTGAAAGTACAACTTGAAAATGCAATTTATTTTAGACAGGTTCTCACTCTGTTGCCCAGCCTGCAGTGCAGTGATGCAATCATAGCTCACTGCAGCCTCAAACTCGTTGGCTCAAGTGATCTTCTTTTCTCAGCTGGGACTACAGGCACATACCACCACACCTGGCTACAATAATTTTTGTATTTTTTGTAGAGATGGGAGCTTGATCTAAATTTTATTTTTAATACATAAAACTATCCCCTAGGATCAAAGGCTTGATTTGGCTGAAGACAAAAATGTAAACCTTCTCTATGGTTAAATATTCCTTCTTTAATAGTATTCATATGCCAATAAGTAAAAGAAGACAAGTAAGATACTGGCATTAGAAATATGTCTTGAGGACCACTAAATTTATTTCAAAAAAAGTGTGAAGTGCTCTTTCCCAAGATCAATACCTTAAATCAAGTTGACCAAATTTATTTGATAATCTGGGAGTTTTTTTTAAAATACAGATACCCAGAGCCCTCCTGTGGAGAGTCTAAATTTCATGTAATGGGGCCCCCAGAAA